TTTTTCCTTTTCTGCAGACTCAAAACTTAAATTCTTATTAACAGGTACTTGTTGCATAGTCAAAATCATACTATAATTGCCTGCCACTCGTTTTGCTTCTGTATCAGCTGCATTATTTCCCCTAACTTGATAACTTGTACCTCGCTGGTGTCCCTTTATATGTACAACTGCTATTTTATCCGGCATTTTCAATGCCCCCAGAACTCGCCGAATTAATTCCGGGTGTATTAGTTCTTTTCCCTGTGAGTTAACAAATCCTCTTTCCTCCCATATTTTTCCAAAAGTGTGCACTACTCCGAACGCATAGCGTGAGTCTGTATATATAGTTCCATCCTTTCCCTTTAGTGACACTAATGCTTTCCACAATGCATACAGCTCACAGGCTTGAGCCGACCAGCTAGCACTCAGGGGGCCTGATTCTATTGTCCTAAATTCTCCTTTTTCCAACTTAACAATGGCATATCCAGACAATCGTTTACCTTTCACTATTCGTGATGACCCGTCTATAAATAATACTTCTCCACATTGTAGTTCTTCTTCTTCTAAATCTGGCCTAATGCGTGTCTGTTGTTCAATTGTTTGAAAACAATTGTGCAATAATTCATTACCTTCTCCTGGGTACAAAAATTCAGCGGGGTTAACTGCTCCAATAGTTTTTAAAGATAGTTTAGGGGATTCTATAAGTATTCCCTCATATTTTAATAATCGGCTATCTGTAAGCCATTTTTCTGCTTTTTGTTGTAACACTCCCCGGATGTTATGAGGCGCATATAAGACAACCTCTCCATTAAAGGTAATGCGATTTGTTTCCTCAAGTAATAAGGCAGCAGCAACAATGATTTGTAAACAACTCGGCCAACCCCTGCTCACAGGGTCTAATAACTTTGATAGGTATGCCACCGGTTTCTTCTGTCCGGCCCATTCCTGAGTTAATACTCCGAATGCAGTTCCTTCATATATGTTAACAAATAAATGGAATGGCCGCTTTAAATCTGGTAGACTTAAAACCGGTGCTTGACTTAGCTCTCTTTTGAGACGGACAAACTGCTCTTGATCCTGAGGGGTCCACTTGGGTATTTTGTCTTTAGACAGTTGTTCATATAAGAATTTTACTTTAAAGCTATAGTTTTCTATCCATTGTCTACAATACCCAAATAGCCCTAATGCCTGCCGAATTTGCCTCTTAGTGACAGGCATAGGTAATTCCAAAATTCCTTTAATGCGCTCCGGATCCAATAGCTTCTGGCCATTAAACAAATAATGTCCCAAATATTTCACTTTTTCCTCCACAAATTGTAACTTTTCCTGTGATACCCGTAGGCCCTTTTGTGCAAGAAAGTTTAGAAGTCGAATGCTTTCTTTTCTTACATCTTCCTTATTATTCCCTGCTATGAGCAGATCATCTACATACTGTAATAGTACGTTCCCCGTTTGTACCTGGTATTCTTTCAAGAGCTCTTCCAGGGCCTGTCCAAACAGATTAGGGGATTCAGTGAACCCTTGGGGAAGCACAGTCCATCTCAATTGCTGTCTACGGCCTGTCTCTAGGTCTTCCCATTCAAAGGCAAAATAATCACGGCATTCTTCTGCCAGTGGACAGGCCCAAAAGGCATCCTTTAAATCAACCACACTATACCAGGAGTTATGGGGTCCTAGTTTGCTTAGTAGTGTGTATGGATTTGCTACTACAGGGAACCGGGTAATAGTTCTTTTGTTTATTTCCCTTAAATCATGTACGAGCCGATATTTCCCATTTGGTTTCTTTATAGGCAAAATGGGGGTGTTAAAGGGTGACATACAAGGCTCTAAGATTCCTTGTGCTAACAATCGATCAATTTCTGGCTTTAATCCTCTCCGTCCTTCTAGAGATATAGGATATTGTTTTACCCTCACAGGTATGTGGGGTTCGGAAATTTGGATTTTAATCGGTGGAATTTCCAGTCTACTAATTGTGTCCGGAGAGTACCAGACATCGGGGTTAATTTGTTTTTGATCATCCACAGTCAAAGGATAAGTAGACACTGTCAGCTCTTGATTTTTCACTTTAATTTCTAATTGCAATTCAACAATTAAATCTCGTCCTAACAGATTAAATTCTGCTTCGGGGACGAGCAAGAGTTCACCCATTCCAAATTTATTTTTAGTTTCAAATACCACAGTTTTGATTTTGCTTACTTTAAAGGGTTCTCCTTTTGCCCCAATTACTTGTACTTTTTCAGGGGAAACTTTACATCCCTCAGGTATTTGCTTAATAGTTGATTTCTCAGCCCCAGTGTCTACTAAAAAGGTGAACTCTTGTTTATGGGGACCTATTTTTAATTTTATCAAGGGCTCATGATGACTCTGGTCCCCTAAGATATAGAGCCCCTGACTCTCCTATTCTGTTTTCAACATTTCCTCATCCCTGATCCTTTCTCTGCAATTCTTCTTTATATGCCCCTTCTTTCCACAGTAAAAACAATTTCTCTGTTCCTTCTCTACTACTACGTTTCCTTGTTTCGTTCCAGCAGATCTGTATTCACCAGTTCGCCCTTTGCGATCCTCTCTGACTGCTGCTACCATCATTTTTACTTGTCGCTTGCTGCTCTCTTCTTCCCACCTTACGTAGACTTTCTGAGCTTCCCTCAGTAATTCATCCAACCCCCTATTCTGCCAGTCTTCTAACTTTTCGATCTTCTTTCTGATATCTTCCCATGATTTTGCCACAAATTGAGTTTTGAGGAGCGCTTGCCCTAAAGGGTCGTCTGGATTTACCCCGGAGTACAGCTGAAGGGCTTTCCTCAGTCGTTCCAGCCACTCAGTAGGGCTTTCATCTTTCTTTTGCATTTCATTAAATGCTTTATTGATATTCTGGCCACGGGGTACTGCTTCTCTAATTCCCTGAATTACTATAGTTCTCAGGTCCTGCATATGAGTTCTATGTACCGGATCTTGATTATCCCAATTAGGTCTTTGGAGTGGCCATTTAATATCTGCTTGGGGTCCCTGGACGTGTTGAGCATCCCACAGTCTCATTCCTGCTCGTCTAATCATATCTCTTTCCTCAGTAGTGAATAATTGACCAAGGATAGATTGCATCTCATCCCAAGTATAAAGGTTTGGTCCCAGAAATTGATCTAATCTTTCTGCTACTCCGAGTGGGTCCTCAATTAAGTTCCCCATCTCGGTTCTTTTAAAATCTCGTAGGTCAGCCGAATTTAAGGGTACAGAAATATATCCGATCACAGGTTGAGGTCCCCCCATGGGTATTTCCCTTAGGGGGTACATCTGAGCTGCCCCCTTTTGACTTCTAGTTACGCGTCTAGGAAGAGGGGGAGACTCTTGTTCCGACTCTGGTGGGGGAGTGGATGCTCTGGGGACCTCTGGAGGGGCTGTGGGAGCAGGAGGAGGAATGTAAGGAGGGGGGGTTAGAAGAGTTTCGTCTAACTCTTCCTTCTTTTTCTTTGTTTCTGTTCCCTTCAGCGGGTAAAGTCTAACTCTCGGTCTTTCCAGCCACACTTCCGCATATTGACTCTCCTCCGGGTTAAGGGGTTTTTTATTATTAATCCAGAGGTTTAATTGCTGTCTTACCCAATCTTCTTCTGACCCGTAGACTGGCCAAAAGACATTTTTAGAAATCTTCTTCCCTCCCCATATCTTAGTACAATATTCTATCATTTTTTTGTTTATCTTTTCCTAGGGTTCCAGGGAAATATCTCCAATTGTCTAAGATATATGCCAGAGGGGTATTCTTAGGTACAATGGGTACCCTTCCCATGGGAGTCGAAGGCTTGCTGCCCTTCGTCCCCATCTTCTGGAATATCCACAAACACACACTCACTCACTCACACCTCTTGTTCCTGGCCCAGTCCCTCGCGGGAGATGGGAAACGCAGTACTTAAGAGTCCACACTCGCTTGGTTCAGTATATCGAACCTCTCACTCGTTATATTCCAGGAAACCCAATCCCGCCCGAACGGCAAACCCACGAACAATTTCGCAATATACTTACGCGTCCTGCGTCTTCGTCCGGACTCCCGTGCACAGAATTTTTGTGGGATTTTACCGGTTTCTCCTTTGCTTATTATTCTAGAATTTAGGTTCGTCGGTAAGGTTGGGGTGAGCTGTTGGTCGCAGGGCCGCAAAACATCGCGGGGCGCCTCCCCGGAAGACCAAAGCCCACCGTTCCTTATCCGAGTCACGGCACCAGAAAATTGTTATAAATTGAGACCACAACGGATCATTATCCAATTAAAATTTTATTAATTATAGCAAGTAGAATATAAGCAAAGACAGCGCTGGACGACAGGGGAGTCTGTGCTCCGACAACTGCCGTACTGAGCAGTTCAAACAGTTCCTTTTTATACATCTTTACTTCCGTGCCCATGAAGTAGCGGAGGTACTCTGCGCATGCTTCAGCTGTTGCCAGGGGGTCACTGGTGGTCGTTGAGGCTGAAGCAAGAAGTCTTCCTCCTTCATCCTATAGTTGACCTTCTACTCCTGTGTCCTTATATGGAGTTGCTTGTTTTATTTCTGCCAGTTCTTGGAACATCCTACAGTTATCTTTAGTCAACATCTGCTATGTCTGCATAAGCGGTACTTGGTTTAGTTTGTGTAAGCGATTGCGGTTATCTTATCTTGCACAAGCTGTGTCTGGCGATTGTTTGAGTAAGCGATTTCATATCCTTTGTTGCCTACCCTTTACATTGGGCTTAACATAAATCTTAATAAACAATATCCTTATCCTTAGTTTCTTACACCTCTGACCCTGTATCCCATAGCAGAAGCAGGGCAATGTGGGTTTGGGGTGCTTTGGGACTGTTTTGGGGGGTTTTGACTGTTTTTGTCCTGGTTTGGGTCTGTTTTGGGCGTCTGACCCTGTATCCCACAGGAGAAGTAGGACAAGGTGGGTTTTGGGTGGTTTTGCCGCTTTTTTGAGGTTTTTGAGGTCTGTTTTGGGGTTCTGACCCTGTATCTTGTGTCAAATGGCAAAGCGGCAAAACCACCCAAAACCCACTTTGCTTATATTCTACTTGCTATAATTAATAAAATTTTAATTGGATAATGATCCATTGTGGTCTCAATTTATAACAATTTTCTGGTGCCGTGACTCGGATAAGGAACGGTGGGCTTTGGTCCTCCGGGGAGGCGCCCCGCGACATTTCGCGGCCCCGCGACCAACAGCTCACCCCAACCTTACCGACGAACCTAAATTCTAGAATAATGAGCAAAGGAGAAACCGGTAAAATCCCATAAAAATTCTGTGCACGGGAGTCCGGACGAAGACGCAGGATGCGTAAGTATATTGCGAAATTGTTCGCAGGTTTGCCGTTCGGGCGGGATTGGGTTTCCTGGAATATAACGAGTGAGAGGTTCGATATATGAACCAAGCGAGTGTGGACTCTTAAGTACTGCGTTTTCCATCTCCCGCGAGGGACTGGGCCAGGAACAAGAGGTGTGAGTGAGTGTGTGTTTGTGGATATTCCAGAAGATGGGGGCGAAGGGCAGCAAGCCTTCGACTCCCATGGGAAGGGTACCCATTGTACCTAAGAATACCCCTCTGGCATATATCTTAGACAATTGGAGATATTTCCCTGGAACCCTAGGAAAAGATAAGCAAAAAATGATAGAATATTGTACTAAGATATGGGGAGGGAAGAAGATTTCTAAAAATGTCTTTTGGCCAGTCTATGGGTCAGAAGAAGATTGGGTAAGACAGCAATTAAACCTCTGGGTTAATAATAAAAAACCCCTTAACCCGGAAGAGAGTCAATATGCGGAAGTATGGCTAGAAAAACCTGGAGCCAGACTTTACCCGCTGAATGAAATAGAAACTAAACAAAAGAAAAAGAAGGAAGACTTAGGCGAAACCCTTCTAACCCCCACTCCTTACATTCCTCCTCCTGCTCCCACAGCCCCTCCAGAGGTCCCCAGAGCATCCACTCCCCCACCAGAGTCGGAACAAGAGTCTCCCCCTCTTCCTAGACGCGTAACTAGAAGTCAAAAGGGGGCAGCTCAGATGTACCCCCTAAGGGAAATACCCATGGGGGGACCTCAACCTGTGATCGGATATATTTCCGTACCCTTAAATTCGGCTGACCTACGAGATTTTAAAAGAACCGAGATGGGGAACTTAATTGAGGACCCACTCGGAGTGGCAGAAAGATTAGATCAATTTCTGGGACCAAACCTTTATACTTGGGATGAGATGCAATCTATCCTTGGTCAATTATTCACTACTGAGGAAAGAGATATGATTAGACGAGCAGGAATGAGACTGTGGGATGCTCAACATGTCCAGGGACCCCAAGCAGATATTAAATGGCCACTCCAAAGACCTAATTGGGATAATCAAGATCCGGTACATAGAACTCATATGCAGGACCTGAGAACTATAGTAATTCAGGGAATTAGAGAAGCAGTACCCCGTGGCCAGAATATCAATAAAGCATTTAATGAAATGCAAAAGAAAGATGAAAGCCCTACTGAGTGGCTGGAACGACTGAGGAAAGCCCTTCAGCTGTACTCTGGGGTAAATCCAGACGACCCTTTAGGGCAAGCGCTCCTCAAAACTCAGTTTGTGGCAAAATCATGGGAAGATATCAGAAAGAAGATCGAAAAGTTAGAAGACTGGCAGAATAGAGGGTTGGATGAATTACTGAGGGAAGCTCAGAAAGTCTACGTAAGGCGGGAAGAAGAGAGCAGCAAGCGACAAGTAAAAATGATGGTAGCAGCAGTCAGAGAGGATCGCAAAGGGCGAACTGGTGAATACAGATCTGCTGGAACGAAACAAGGAAACGTAGTAGTAGAGAAGGAACAGAGAAATTGTTTTTACTGTGGAAAGAAGGGGCATATAAAGAAGAATTGCAGAGAAAGGATCAGGGATGAGGAAATGTTGAAAACGGAATAGGAGAGTCAGGGGCTCTATATCTTAGGGGACCGGAGTCATCATGAGCCCTTGATAAAATTAAAAATAGGTCCCCATAAACAAGAGTTCACCTTTTTAGTAGACACTGGGGCTGAGAAATCAACTATTAAGCAAATACCTGAGGGATGTAAAGTTTCCCCTGAAAAAGTACAAGTAATTGGGGCAAAAGGAGAACCCTTTAAAGTAAGCAAAATCAAAAATGTGGTATTTGAAACTAAAAATAAATTTGGAATGGGTGAACTCTTGCTCGTCCCTGAAGCAGAATTTAATCTGTTAGGACGAGATTTAATTGTTGAATTGCAATTAGAAATTAAAGTGAAAAATCAAGAGCTGACAGTGTCTACTTATCCTTTGACTGTGGATGATCAAAAACAAATTAACCCCGATGTCTGGTACTCTCCGGACACAATTAGTAGACTGGAAATTCCACCGATTAAAATCCAAATTTCCGAACCCCACATACCTGTGAGGGTAAAACAATATCCTATATCTCTAGAAGGACGGAGAGGATTAAAGCCAGAAATTGATCGATTGTTAGCACAAGGAATCTTAGAGCCTTGTATGTCACCCTTTAACACCCCCATTTTGCCTATAAAGAAACCAAATGGGAAATATCGGCTCGTACATGATTTAAGGGAAATAAACAAAAGAACTATTACCCGGTTCCCTGTAGTAGCAAATCCATACACACTACTAAGCAAACTAGGACCCCATAACTCCTGGTATAGTGTGGTTGATTTAAAGGATGCCTTTTGGGCCTGTCCACTGGCAGAAGAATGCCGTGATTATTTTGCCTTTGAATGGGAAGACATAGAGACAGGCCGTAGACAGCAATTGAGATAGACCATGCTTCCCCAAGGGTTCACTGAGTCCCCTAATCTGTTTGGACAGGCCCTGGAAGAGCTCTTAAAAGAATACCAGGTACAAACGGGAAACGTACTGTTACAGTATGTAGATTATCTGCTTATAGCAGGGAATAATAAGGAGGGTGTAAGAAAAGAAAGCATTCAACTCCTAAACTTTCTTGCACAAAAAGGACTATGGGTATCACAAGAAAAGTTACAATTTGTGGAGGAAAAAGTGAAATATTTGGGACATTATTTGTTTAACGGCCAGAAGATATTGGATCCGGAGCGCATTAAAGGAATTTTGGAATTACCTATGCCTGTCACTAAGAGGCAAATTCGGCAGGCATTAGGGCTATTTGGGTATTGTAGGCAATGGATAGAAAACTATAGCTTTAAAGTTAAATTCTTATATGAACAACTGTCTAAAGACAAAATACCCAAGTGGACCCCTCAGGATCAAGAGCAGTTTGTCAGTCTCAAAAGAGAGCTAAGTCAAGCACCGGTTTTAAGCCTACCAGATTTAAAGCGGCCATTCCATTTATTTGTTAACATATATGAAGGAACGGCATTCGGAGTATTAACTCAGGAATGGGCCGGACAGAAGAAACCGGTGGCATACCTATCAAAGTTGTTGGACCCTGTGAGCAGGGGTTGGCTGAGTTGTTTACAAATCATTGTTGCTGCTGCCTTATTACTTGAGGAAACAAATCGCATTACCTTTAATGGAGAGGTTGTCTTATATGCGCCTCATAACATCCGGGGAGTGTTACAACAAAAAGCAGAAAAATGGCTTACAGATAGCCGATTATTAAAATATGAGGGAATACTTATAGAATCCCCTAAACTATCTTTGAAAACTATTGGAGCAGTTAACCTCGCTGAATTTTTATACCCAGGAGAAGGTAATGAACTATTGCACAATTGTTTTCAAACAATTGAACAACAGACACGCATTAGGCCAGATTTAGAAGAAGAAGAACTACAATGTGGAGAAGTATTATTCATAGGTGGGTAATCACGAATAGTGGAAGGTAAACGATTGTCTGGATATGCCATCATTAAGTTGGAAGAAACAGTGCTAGCTGGTCTGTCCTGTGAGCTGTATGCATTGTGGAAAGCATTAGTGTCACTAAAGGGAAAGGATGGAACTATATACATGCCAGTAGTGCACACTTTTGGAAAAATATGGGAGGAAAAAGGATTTGTTAACTCACAGAAAAACCCCACTGGAAAATAATCAAATACTCCAGGTGACACCAAGATAACTCTAAAAGATAACAACAATTAGAAACTTTATTTGGAAAAACTTATTTTGACGCATTACCTATTTGGTATAAAGTGTGTACTGCTGTTTATATTTATATAATATAGCATAATTACTTCTCTTTTTATTTATTAGTTATGTCTATTATATATGTGTTACTTGAACACATTATACCTCGATATGGAGTACCTGAAGTAAAGCGTACAAATTGGGTATTAAGTGGTGTGTGGCATCCACAAAGTTCGGGAAAAGTTGAAAGGAAATTGCTAAACTTATGCAACCACACAATAGTGAATATAGATGGTGTAGATATGCTGATGTAAATAATATATATACAATTAGCTAGATATACAAGAATTAGGTGTAATAATTTGAACTGCAATTGTTAAAGTCCATTTGTTTGTTTTAGGTGTAAAAGGCCCAGTATGCCCCCAGGATAAATGGTGGACACACTGTGAATATGGATACCCTCCAATAGGAGTTTGCACACAGTGTGTTGAGAAAATCCAAAGAACTCACACTGAGTGGAAATTAAAACAATTAGAGTCTAAACGAGAAATTATTCCGTGAGAATCCCATGAGTGGTGGAAGATTTTTACCAAAGGAGTAAAACCTCAATATTATTGTTACCACTCTAACGAACCAGTCCCCTTTATTGTAACTGAGATTTTGGTTATAAAGTGCAGAAGGGAAGTATTAACCGTGCCTTGCTTTGCCCCATTAGTTAAAGCTGCAAAGTGGGAAGCCTATGTGAATAGGCAGAAAGCCAGAAACAGCTGTCCTCCTGAAGAATTCCCTTGCTGCCGAGAAGATGGTACACCCCGTGGCTCGAAGCAACCGAGTCGACGGGCGAGGCAGAAGAGGAACAAACTGTGGAGAAAAGAACCAGAACAATGGGACGCAAAAGCAGCAATGGCCGAACTTCCCCAGGACTGGTAAAAATATACTTAAATTGGCAAAATTGACAAACACCCTTTTTCCTGGTATACCGTTAGTCTTGATATTGATAATAACCCAGGCAAAAGGGGAAAATCCACATGAACCATTTAAGTGGGAACTAATATCTTGGGAAGGAACGAGAACAATAGCCACTTTTAGCGACCCAGGGCCACCTGAATTCATAGTGGAACTTTGTGATTTAGTACCAATACCTTGTGAAAAGGGGCCTCCATTTTATATATGCCTGGCCTCTGGACCAACTTACTGTAATTATCCCGGACAATACTATTGTGGGTATTGGGGATGTGAGACAATAGCCTCAGGCTGGTCAGTAAAGACTCCTGATAAACATATAAAAGCAACCTGGACTCCTAACGGATGTGTACCTGAAGGCACAGGTATAGATCTTACAGGTCTATGTGATTATTGTGAGTGTGTCATACCGCGTAGAAACTATATCTGTGATTGTAAGAAAATACCTTGTGAATGTTGTGATAAATGTTTACAGTGTTTACTCCTTTGGTAAAAATCTTCCACCACTCATGGGATTCTCTCCTAATAATTTCTCGTTTAGACTCTAATTGTTTTAATTTCCACTCAGTGTGGTTGCAGAGTTCTTTGGATTTTCTCACACTGTGTGCAAACTCCTATTGGAGGGTATCCATATTCCACAGTGTGTCCACCATTTATCCTGGCCCTCGCTCTGGTTTTAGGGTTTCTACCTTACACCTAAAACAAACAAATGGATAACAATTGCAGTTCAAATTATTACACCTAATTCGTATATCTAGAGTATATATATTATTTACATCAGCATATCTTCTATATTCACTTTTTGATGTGTGTGGTTGTCATAAGTTTAGCAATTTCCATATCGAGGTAACACACACTTTAGTAACTTGGTTAGCAGTTGCCATATATATAATGTGTTAGACAATAAAGAGAAGTAATTATAGTGTGAAATATAAACAGCAGTACACACTTTACTATATTATATACCAAAAGGTTGAATGCGTGTGTTCAAAATAATCAAAGACTTCTCTCCCATCATATGTATTTCGTTCCTTAGCTCTTTGTTCTAGTTTTTCCTTTTCTGCAGATTCAAAACTTAAATTCTTATTAACAGGTACTTGTTGCATAGTCAAAATCATACTATAATTGCCTGCCACTCGTTTTGCTTCTGTATCAGCTATTTTCCAGTAACTTGTACCTCGGGTTCCCTTTATATGTACAACTGGGCCTTTTCAATGCCCCCAGACTGGCATGTTCTTTTCCCTGTGAGTTAACAAATCCTCTTTCCTCCCATATTTTTCCAAAAGTGTGCACTACTCCGAACGCATAGCGTGAGTCTGTATATATAGTTCCATCCTTTCCCTTTAGTGACACTAATGCTTTCCACAATGCATACAGCTCACAGGCTTGAGCCGACCAGCTAGCACTCCCTGATTCTATTGTCCTAAATTCTCCTTTTTCCAACTTAACAATGGCATATCCAGTGATGACCCGTCTATAAATAATACTTCTCCACATTGTAGTTCTTCTTCTTCTAAATCTGGCCTAATGCGTGTCTGCTGTTCAATTGTTTGAAAACAATTGTGCAATAATTCATTACCTTCTCCTGGGTACAAAAATTCAGCGGGGTTAACTGCTCCAATAGTTTTCAAAGATAGTTTAGGGGATTCTATAAGTATTCCCTCATATTTTAATAATCGGCTATCTGTAAGCCATTTTTCTGCTTTTTGTTGTAACACCCCCCTGATGTTATGAGGCGCATATAAGACAACCTCTCCATTAAAGGTAATGCGATTTGTTTCCTCAAGTAATAAGGCAGCAGCAACAATGATTTGTAAACAACTCAGCCAACCCCTGCTCACAGGGTCCAACAACTTTGATAGGTATGCCACCGGTTTCTTCTGTCCGGCCCATTCCTGAGTTAATACTCCGAATGCCGTTCCTTCATATATGTTAACAAATAAATGGAATGGCCGCTTTAAATCTGGTAGGCTTAAAACCGGTGCTTGACTTAGCTCTCTTTTGAGACTGACAAACTGCTCTTGATCCTGAGGGGTCCACTTGGGTATTTTGTCTTTAGACAGTTGTTCATATAAGAATTTAACTTTAAAGCTATAGTTTTCTATCGATTGCCTACAATACCCAAATAGCCCTAATGCCTGCCGAATTTGCCTCTTAGTGACAGGCATAGGTAATTCCAAAATTCCTTTAATGCGCTCCGGATCCAATATCTTCTGGCCGTTAAACAAATAATGTCCCAAATATTTCACTTTTTCCTCCACAAATTGTAACTTTTCTCGTGATACCCGTAGACCCTTTTGTGCAAGAAAGTTTAGAAGTCGAATGCTTTCTTTTCTTACATCCTCCTTATTATTCCCTGCTATGAGCAGATCATCTACATACTGTAATAGTACGTTCCCCGTTTGTACCTGGTATTCTTTTAAGAGCTCTTCCAGGGCCTGTCCAAACAGATTAGGGGATTCAGTGAACCCTTGGGGAAGCACGGTCCATCTCAATTGCTGTCTACGGCCTGTCTCTATGTCTTCCCATTCAAAGGCAAAATAATCACGGCATTCTTCTGCCAGTGGACAGGCCCAAAAGGCATCCTTTAAATCAACCACACTATACCAGGAGTTATGGGGTCCTAGTTTGCTTAGTAGTGTGTATGGATTTGCTACTACAGGGAACCGGGTAATAGTTCTTTTGTTTATTTCCCTTAAATCATGTACGAGCCGATATTTCCCATTTGGTTTCTTTATAGGCAAAATGGGGGTGTTAAAGGGTGACATACAAGGCTCTAAGATTCCTTGTGCTAACAATCGATCAATTTCTGGCTTTAATCCTCTCCGTCCTTCTAGAGATATAGGATATTGTTTTACCCTCACAGGTATGTGGGGTTCGGAAATTTGGATTTTAATCGGTGGAATTTCCAGTCTACTAATTGTGTCCGGAGAGTACCAGACATCGGGGTTAATTTGTTTTTGATCATCCACAGTCAAAGGATAAGTAGACACTGTCAGCTCTTGATTTTTCACTTTAATTTCTAATTGCAATTCAACAATTAAATCTCGTCCTAGCAGATTAAATTCTGCTTCAGGGACGAGCAAGAGTTCACCCATTCCAAATTTATTTTTAGTTTCAAATATCACATTTTTGATTTTGCTTACTTTAAAGGGTTCTCCTTTTGCCCCAATTACTTGTACTTTTTCAGGGGAAACTTTACATCCCTCAGGTATCTGCTTAATAGTTGATTTCTCAGCCCCAGTGTCTACTAAAAAGGTGAACTCTTGTTTATGGGGACCTATTCTTAATTTTATCAAGGGCTCATGATGACTCCGGTCCCCTAAGATATAGAGCCCCTGACTCTCCTATTCCGTTTTCAACATTTCCTCATCCCTGATCTTTTGTCTGCAATTCTTCTTTATATGCCCCTTCTTTCCACAGTAAAAACAATATCTCTGTTCCTTCTCTACTACTACGTTTCCTTGTTTCGTTCCAGCAGATCTGTGTTCACCAGTTCGCCCTTTGCGATCCTCTCTAACTGCTGCTACCATCATTTTTACTTGTCGCTTGCTGCTCTCTTCTTCCCGCCTTACGTAGACTTTCTGAGCTTCCCTCAGTAATTCATCCAACCCTCTATTCTGCCAGTCTTCTAACTTTTCGATCTTCTTTCTGATATCTTCCCATGATTTTGCCACAAACTGAGTTTTGAGGAGCGCTTGCCCTAAAGGGTCGTCTGGATTTACCCCAGAGTACAGCTGAAGGGCTTTCCTCAGTCGTTCCAGCCACTCAGTAGGGCTTTCATCTTTCTTTTGCATTTCATTAAATGCTTTATTGATATTCTGGCCACGGGGTACTGCTTCTCTAATTCCCTGAATTACTATAGTTTTCAGGTCCTGCATATGAGTTCTATGTACCGGATCTTGATTATCCCAATTAGGTCTTTGGAGTGGCCATTTAATATCTGCTTGGGGTCCCTGGACATGTTGAGCATCCCACAGTCTCATTCCTGCTCGTCTAATCATATCTCTTTCCTCAGTAGTGAATAATTGACCAAGGATAGATTGCATCTCATCCCAAGTATAAAGGTTTGGTCCCAGAAATTGATCTAATCTTTCTGCCACTCCGAGTGGGTCCTCAATTAAGTTCCCCATCTCGGTTCTTTTAAAATCTCGTAGGTCAGCCGAATTTAAGGGTACGGAAATATATCCGATCACAGGTTGAGGTCCCCCCATGGGTATTTCCCTTAGGGGGTACATCTGAGCTGCCCCTTTTTGACTTCTAGTTACGCGTCTAGGAGGAGGGGGAGACTCTTGTTCCGACTCTGGTGGGGGAGTGGATGCTCTGGGGGCCTCTAGAGGGGCTGTGAGAGCAGGAGGAGGAATGTAAGGAGGGGGGGTTATAAGGGTTTCGTCTAATTCTTCCTTCTTTTTCTTTTGTTTAGTTTTTATTTCATTCAGCGGGTAAAGTCTAGCTCCCGGTTTTTCTAGGCACACTTCTGCATATTGACTCTCCTCCGGGTTAAGGGATTTTTTATTATTAACCCAGAGGTTTAATTGCTGTCTTACCCAATCTTCTTCTGACCCATAGACTGGCCAAAAGACATTTTTAGAAATCTTCTTCCCTCCCCATATCTTAGTACAATATTCTATCATTTTTTGCTTATCTTTCCCTAGGGTTCCAGGGAAATATCTCCAATTGTCTAAGATATATGCCAGAGGGGTATTCTTAGGTACAATGGGTACCCTACCCATGGGAGTCGAAGGCTTGCTGCCCTTCGCCCCCATCTTCTGGAATATCCACAAACACGCACTCACTCACTCCTCTTGTTCCTGGCCCAGTCCCTCGCGGGAGATGGAAAACGCAGTACTTAAGAGTCCACACTCGCTTGGTTCAGTATATCGAACCTCTCACTCGTTATATTCCAGGAAACCCAATCCCGCCCGAACGGCAAACCTGCGAACAGCTTCGCAATATACTTACGCGTCCTGCGTCTTCGTCCGGACTCCCGTGCACAGAATTTTTATGGGATTTT